ATTGAAATGGATTATTGACTTCAGCGTCTGACAGGATGGTCAGTACCTTGGATCCCAGCACACAATAGACGTCTGCTGCACCCCAATATGTTGTTGGTTCTGCTTCGCTCACAGATCGGCATGAACGGCTTTAAAATTTGAAAAGAGGTCCAATGAAGTGTCATGGCAAGACGTCAGCGTGGTGTGGCCATCACACCAATGGTATCAAGAAAAATGGGCATCTACTCATTGATCATCTACTTGCAAAGTATAGTCTTTCTTGCATCCAAGAAAACAAACTTCGCGATTGCCACCATCTTGATACTTTCCAGTTCAGCCTTTGATCCCGTTTCAAGCACAAGCTATTTGTCAGTGATCCTGGCGCGGTCAGTGCTTCACAGACAACACACCGATCTGGCGGTGTGATAACTGTGATCCACCCTGATTTTCCAGGTTTCGACACAGCTACGGAGCTACGAGAACTGACTGGGTTGAGACGCTATTTGGTCGTACAAGTGGTAGTCGTCAATGCTCCCCTGTGTATCCACAACGTATACTTGCTAGTGAACGATCATGACAAAGCCGCTTTCTTCGATTATCTTCCGGTGGATTGTTTCGAAGACACTGCAACACACATCGTTTTCGGAGACCTGAATACGCCCTTCAACCCCAGTATTGACTCTTCCAAACACCGCTAATATGCTCGCCCAGGACGCAGCGCCTGTATGAGTTGGCTAGGTCAGTTGGGTGTTGTTGATGCCTGGCGCATCCATCACCAAGATGAACGCATTGACAGTAGCCCTCAACCACAACAGAACCGGCTTGACTACGCATTGTTTTCAGAAGACTTCTGTAACGCGCTGTACGGCGCCTCCGAGTATTTTGAGCCTATGGGCGCAGGTGACCACATAGCACATACAGTGACCCTGCGCTCCATGTCTCAGCCTCATGGATAAGGCTACTGGCGCTTCCCAGCGTACCTCCTGAATTATCTGGATGTTATGAATGTCATTCGTGACGAAACACAGCAAGTTCTCAACTATCTCAATGCTACATCCAACCCGGGCAAGTTCTGGGAACAGTGGAAGAGGTCCGTGAGGAGACAGATCCAGGCTCTACAGCGTAAGCTACGAAATCAAGATCGCGCTGCAATTAGGATCGCCCAAACTTTGCTAGATTAAGCAGCGACAACATACCGCAACAAACGAGACACCGCCTTCAAAGATGCCTTTCATCCTGCACTGAACACGTACCGCGACTGCGTGTCTCAGGCTCGTTGCAGTAATCAAGACTTGGCTTTTGACTCTCAAGTCCAGAATTCCGAGACGTCTTCCCGGTACTTCTTCCGTCCGCTCGACCCATCACTCCGGCGGGTGAGTATTGAAGAAGTTCAAACCTCAAATGCAAAATATCTCGCAAAACCCAGCTGATATTTCAGCAGCTTTTCAAGCCCATTGGGGAGCTATCATGGGTGATACTGGCAGTTCTACAAGACGACCATCAATTGCATATCCTGACAGTCAACAAGAGCTGCTGGACACGGCTGAGAAGCGTCTAACATAAAAAGACCAAGCTTTCTTGAATACCACAGTTTCTGTCGCTGAACTCACCGACGCGCTCCAGCACATGAAAGCCAACTCTGCGCCCGGCATGGATGGCCTTAGAGCTGGCTTCTACCAGGTGGCGACTACGAACTTCTGGAAATGCCTGAGTACAGTTTTCAAATACAAGCTGTCAAGTGGTGAGCTCCTCCCTTCCCAGCGCAAGTCAGCTGTATGCATGTTACACAAGAAAGGCTCCAGAGATCATCCAGGCAACTTCCGACCAATCTCACTTATTGGTGTTGAGGTGTTGATGTAAAAGCCCTGTCCAAGGTCTGACCTATCGCCATCAAACCTTTCTTCCTCAGCTTATACATGGCGATCAGAAGGCTTTCGTGAAAGATCAAGCTATACATCATCACGCGCGCTTCATGGCGGATCTGCAGGATCGCGTAATTGCTCGCACAGGGGAAGCCTATGCCATGTTTCTCGACCTCGAGAAGGCATAAGACCGGGTCAACTGGAACTATATGTTTCAGGTGCTCGAACGCATGGGCAGCGGTGGCGCTCTCACTGATTGAGTCAAGCTTCTCTACACGAATCCACAGGCACACCTCTTGCTCAACTGTCACATACAATCGCCGATATTTCCCACACGGGGAGTTAAACAAGGTGACCCGCTTTCAGCGCTACTGCTCCCTATGATTATCGAACCGCTAGGAAATCTGCTCCGGCAACACGAAGGGCACGGTGTTTGCATCACCGAAGATTAGACCACCAGCAGCCTCTTCTTTGCTGATGAAATAACGCTGCTCTCCAGCTCGCTTTCCGGTTTGCATCCACAGCTTGACCTGGTGCAGCTGTACTGCGACGGCTCTGGGGCCAAGCTTAATCTGACTAAATGTGTATTTATGCAAAATCGAAAAACCAACCCGCCAAGCATCCCTGGGGTCAGGACGCGGCGGCGCGGGGAGAAGTTCAATTTCCTAGGCATCCTTCTTGGTCAAGATCCAGTCGAAAACGCCATCGTGGAGTTCTTAGACCGGCGTTTTTACGAGGGATTTCTCCAATGGTTCCG